TACTTTTTTCGTATTTTTCAAATGAAACATGTCCCAGTACACATGTTAGTACTTCGTATGTCCATTCCACGAATCATTCCTTGAAGATTGCTCACAGAATCTCGATTGGATTTAAATCAGGAGAGTTTCCGGACCAATCTATAGTACTTTGATTTTCTCACTGGTATGGCTTGCCAGTGTGTTTGTGCAGCGTTACCATTTTCGTACGCTTCCATAGAGTAACGTCCATCTCAGACAATCGTCGTACGACAACTAATCGACAGTCGAAACAATAGTGTCTGGGTGCGATAAAAATCTAATGCAATCACGGACGACGAAATATTTTTCAAGGCTAAACAAATTTCATCAAACATCCCGAAAATAGATTCATATTTCTACACACCACTGCAAATGACCTAATCTGAGGAAAAAATAGAAATCAATTACACCCTGTCACTCCAGTGGGTCTAAAACTGAGCTTATGGTGAAAGAAAGGAAACTAAATCGGTTGTTTCAATAAATTTGCACAAGGGGGTATAAGTGAAACTATATTTTGCATATAAACCTGTAATTTCTGGAATTAGGTGTTATCACTTTTACCTTATTTTTGAACTAATGTCCACATTATTGTCGCTGTTATCAACATTTCGGTGTTGTGCTACTCTTTGGTCTTCTTCAGGTCCTTGTTGGTCCAGGTAAACTTCTAAGAATTTCAAAATCAACAGACACCTGTAGAAGACTGGCAAAGCGTATGGCCGAAATATTGTCATAATGAAAAGGATGGGGACATTAGTCCAACTGTAAATCTCATCTCGGACATTCAGACAGAAATATTGTCTTAAATACATAAACACACTTCAGACACCATTACTAATGCCACAGTTCTCCTACATCATCGAGAAAAATGCTGCTAACGATGTTGGACTCTATGTACAATTCTTATAAAACTATATTGATAAGCCACAACCAGCAAGGCTCGATATAAACTGTTTTAGGTGAATTAATAAAATCTATGGAATCTTTTACATACCTAGAAAGCGAAATAAATTCTACGGAAAAGGATGTGAAAATTCGCCTAGCCAAAGCCTGAACTGTCTTCAATTAAATGGATGTAATCTGAAGTACCAGACAACTTCAAACGGACATTCTTTCGAGACACTGTAGAGGTAGTTTTAATATATGGACATTGGACATTAACTAAAACCCTTGAGCCTAAACTTACATTCGGATGCTGAAAGCCATACTTAACATCTATTAGCGACAGCATCCAACTAAATCACAGCTCTATCGACTCATCCCTGATATTCGTACAATCTTATATGAACGTAGAATGCGTTTTGCAGGACACTGCTGACGAGCAAAACAAGAATTTGCGAGTGAGCTATGGCTATGGACACCTAGCCATGGCGCAAGATTGTCTGATTGGCCGACAATCACCTACATTGACCAATTATATTATGACACAGAATGCTACCCTAATGGCCTTATGTTTAGTATCTGCTTTAAACCGCTCGTCCACAGAACGTCACGGTCCTCTCTGATTCAATTCTCCTCTTTAAAGATTGTCAATCCTCTTGCCCAGACATCCTCAAACGACCATATCTGCTCAATTTTGTATCCGAACGTAAACAAAGCAATTCTCAAGCAATCAATAAATTTTTAAATTTTATTGCTAACCCTATATTATTTCTCTCTAGCCGAGAAACCACCCTTTGGCCAGACTCTAGGCTAGCCCCTGCGGAGGGGTTTTGGCCCTTCGGCATTTTAACTTCAGCGTTCTCTGTACCTAAAAGTTAGAAGAATTTAGAAATAATGAAATTATTTTATCTTTATTCGACATCTTATTTCGCCATAATCTTTCTTCCTATACACAACCGATCTCCTTAAAAGATAATAGGGAACACGAACGATGTAATATTTCGAATACATCACAGTACGCGTGGTAGAAAAAAAAAGGTGGGGGGGGAGAGAGAAAACTATATGAGCAACGTACCGTGCCCCGTTTAAGTTTTTAAATGAGTTATTTATTTAATTTTTCATCGCGTGTAACTACAGTAGTTACTCCGTATTACATCAAGTTGTTTATGATTCGCCAAGATCGAAAAAAGAATGAAAGGATGGACGGACATGCATACAGTGTTTTATAGATTACACCAAACATTATTCCTAGTGGATACCTGTGTTAGAGTAGACGTCTCGTTTTTTTTTTTTTACGGTGTTGATTACGTTTACCGGCCAGCGCATTCGAGATGTTAATTTAAATAGGTAATCGCATATTTATGGACTGTAACACTCTTTGTGTCAGGGTGATCTAAACTACGCCGGTTTAGACGGGGGAAGCAGGTTCGAGCCCTACCGAAGAGTACATTTTCTTTATTAAGTCTATCAAACGTGTAGGCCAATGGACGTAATTCACTTCATTTAAAAAAAGAAAGAGGGGGCGTCTACTCAACCATGGTTATCCACAAAGAATAACCTTTGGAGTTATAAGAAATAACGGCCGTTTAAAATAAACTGAAATATATCGTTAATTCCTTACAAATGACTATATATTTGCATCTGGGACCCGGCACGACAAATACACGGGGATGTATCATCCTAATTCCCCTCTGTATTCCATTAGTAAGTAAGAAGTTCGACTCGAATCGCTTCTTTGCCAAGAGCTGCTGCTTTGTAGAAAAGACTCCCGAATGGATATGTACCTAATCAATACAATGTTAAACTTTTCAGGTCTAGGCTTAAACATTATTTTTCCAATATATTCACATAAACCACGCTTCTCTTTCGCTCATAAAACATTTTTTAAATCGGTATCACCCGATGAAAGGCAATATAGCCACTAAGACAAAAGGGGTTACTAGGTGTGGAAGAATTAGGAACAGAAACATGACTAATGAGCGGGAAGAGGAAAGAGTAATCAGGAGGACAGCAGATTGAGATTGGCATTTAAATTTTTGCAGATTAAATTTGGCTGGAAATTATGTAGTTCCAGAAGCGAGAAGTGTGAGAAAAGAAATTGCAAGCATAAAATTTACGGCTAAATCTCGCCAGTTCCACTGTAAATCGATGAGATCTCGACACCAGTCTAGTAATGTGCTTAAATTCATACAGTCTAGGCGCCATAGCGAAGAACTCAGCCAAACAATTACCATGAAAGTATTTAGAGAAAAGACACAGAGAGGCAACCTTATGGCGGTGGGAAAGTTACTCAAGCAAAACCGCCAGCTCATATTGCTGACTCGTCTTTGCATTTTATCAAGGAGCCCAAGGTAAATAGCATGGTCACCGGACCATATGTGGAAGCAATATTCTAAGCATGGATAAATGGTAGCTTATAGATATGTAAGATAAATTCTTGATAGAAAAACTATCTCATACGACACAGTGAACCAACTTTTTTAGCAGATTACCTAGCAATGGCTTCAATATAGATTTTCCACTTCAAGTCAGCTGAGAAAGTTGGTCCAAGATGACGCAATTTTCCTGGAGGTTAGCATAAGTCGTCCTGTTGGAAAGCAATGAGAAGTCTCTCAGATGATTAATGGAAATAACATCATACGACAAATGCTCTGACGGGCTATATTCATTCGCTCAACCAGTTCAGACCTTCACAGCCATGACATGCTATGCCACTGGGGCGAATAATTCCAATTTCCTTCGAATTTCTTTTTAGTAAGAAACATGGGACACCTCGACGTGGTGTAATGGTTAGCAAGGCTGTCTCGCCTCTAACAATTACAACTGGGTAGTGAGTTCAATCCTCACATGTTCCCCATATATTCGGCATTGTGCCATATCTAAGCTACGCCTATAAAATCACCATGAGTAGAGATTTTCCACGCGTAGCTTAGATGCGGCACAAGGCCGAAAGTATGGGACACCCAGTGAGGATCGAACTCACTTTTCAGTAGTAACACATCTAACAAGACAAGCTTGCTAACCATTACACCACGCCAAGGTATCCTAGTGATTTTCAATCAGTAGCTTAGATGTGGTACAAGGCCGAAAGTAGGGGGCACTCAGTGAGGATCGAAATCACTACTCAGTCGAAATAGTTCTAGCAAGACAAGCTTGCTAACCATTACACCACGCCGAGGTGCCCAAAGTGATTTTCCAAGTGTAGCTCAGATGTGGCAGAAGGCCGAAAGTATGGGGCACCCAGTGAGGATCGAACTCACTATTCAGTCGTAACAGATCTAGCAAGACAAGCTTTCTAACCATTACACCACGTCAAGGGGCCCTAAAATCATCATGAGTCAGAAGGAAATTTTATTCCTACAGTTTCTTGGGGGCCGTTGTTTGGTCAGAAATTCTCCCATGGAGTTGCGTACCCTTTCACTACCATCTTGACCTCTTTAAGTCTAAGGTCAACGGCTATCTTTCGTACATATCATCATGATCTGCTTTTATTTACTCGCCCCACCACGTTCATGCAGCACCCCTCTTGAGTGGCTCTTGGGCCTTGTATTGAGTGAATAATTATTTAAAATAGCAAGGACCACGAAGATTATTATTAAATACACGATCCAACGTTTTTTTTTTCGTCATGCCATTCTTTGTTTATGCGGAGGCGTCTTTTGTTTGGCTACTCTTCCTGCCAATTTGGAATTTGAGGAATTCTTTCTTGTTTGTTTGTTTGATAAACAATTTACTTCTGCAAAGAACCAAATTTACTTTCTTGGCATTTGAAAAGGCTGACAACAAACCTAATCCACCGCTCTCTCCGCCCGACAACCATCTTCGACGCCAATAAGGGCGAACATAAAATGGATGAATGTGACCTCTCGTCCCTGCTTGCAAAAGAATCTGCAACACTATTGTAAGCTGTCGTAAAAAATAAGGGACGTTCGCATAGCTGTGGACTACGGCTGACTCTTATGTTGATCAAGTCACCAAACTGACCACCTCAGGTGGCTTTTCATTCTTCTTTTATTCCTCGTCTTTGATTCCTTTTCTCTCTCTTTTTTTCTTTATTGTTAAGAGATGTTTTTTGTTTATTTGTTTGTAGGTGCATTCCATTTATGGACGTATTCATTTGTTTTTTTCTTCTTCTTCCTATTTATTCTTTGCTTTTCTTGAATAGAATTTACTTTCTTTCTTTCTTTCTTTCTTTCTTTCTTTCTTTCTTTCTTTCTAGTGATTTCCCTTCATGTTTAATTCTTTTCGTTGGATCTCATCTTTTTCATTTAATCTTTCTCTCTTTCCTTTTTATATTAATTTCTCTTTTAAAATTTAATTTTCTTTCTTTTGCTCATGTTTCTATCTTATAATCTGTTTCTTTCTTTCTTTCTTTCTTTCTTTCTTTCTTCTATTTTTATTTGCTTTTTTCATGCCACCAGTTATTGCTTACTTTCCTTCTTTCTTTCATTTCTCTCTTTCTTTTTCTTTCTTTCTTTCCTTCTTTCTTTCTTTCTTTCTTTCTTTCTTTCTTTCTTTCTTTCTTTCTTTCTTTCTTATCACCAGTACTTTCTTTCATCTATTTCTTTTCCTTTCTTTCTTTCTTGTCATCAGTTCTTTCTTTCTTTACTTGCTTTCTCTCTTTTCTTTTTCTTTCTCCTGTTGCCTTCTTGCTTTCTTTCTTATCATCACTTCTTATTATCAGGTCTTTCTTTCTTTATCTTTCTTTCTTTCTTTCTTTCTTTCTTTCTTTCTTTCTTTCTTTCTTTCTCGTCATCAATTCTTATGATCAGTTCTTTCTTTCTCCTATTTCTTTCTTCTTCCCTTCTTTCTTGTCATCTATTCTTTCTTTCTTCAGTTGCTTTTTCTCCTTTCTTTCTTTCTTTCTTTCTTTCTTTCTTTCTTTCTTATCATCAATCCTTTCTTTTCCCTTTTTCTTTCCTTCTTTCTTTTCATAAGTTCTTTCTTTCTCCTATTTCTTTCATTTTCTTTCTTTCTTTCTTTCTTTGCCATCATTATTTCAATAACACTAATCTATTGTTGTTAAATCTTTCATTAATATTTTTTGTTTTCGTGTCCTTACTGCCGTTTCGGTATTCGACGTCTTTCCGTGAACTCTTTACGTCGTGCTTATTCCTCTTGCCAATGTCAACAGGTACAAATTGATCCATTTTCTGCTTCATAATGGAAACGACATTTTAAAAAGCAAACAAATAAATGAATAAATAAAAGAATGTTTAAATAAAATGGAAAAAAACAAAAACAAAAACGAAAAACAAAATGGCGTCTTATTCAAGTCGTCGGACGTTCAGGTTTCCAACACAACAGATATGTATCACGCTTTGAAGAAAAGCATAAAATACGAAGCAACCGTGAATACCTAAGTTAGAAGTACCCCACCCCCCACCACAAAAAAAAACAAAAAACAAAAAACAATAAAATAAAAATAACAATAAACTAATAACTATGCAATTTTGGTCTATGTGCGGGGGTAGGGCGTTAGGAGTTGGTTAACCAGTGATGTCGCGACGTTCAGTTCCTTTTCAACATGATATTCTAGACTAGATTAATGTCACGTTTTCGGCCTTTCTTTCTCAACTTCCTAAGGAACTATTTTAATCGTCTATATTATGACGGGTTAACGTCAGGGATTTGCACCAATTGTTACTTATATTAAAGATCTATAAAACTCTTTGCATTAATATGCTTGTTCGTACCTGTCCACACAGCTACAGTCTGTGCGACACATTCAGGTTTTCTTTATAGGATTTTTTCTTTAGAAAATGTTAAGGTTGACTTAGGCATCTTCATGAGATCGCTAAAAACGGAGCATAGCATGATGAAAAAGACGCCAAAGTTGATGAAAACTTAGCGTCTAAATGCTTATGTTATTATTGAGAGGAAAGATCAAAGTATTTTTTAATTATTTTTTAAAATTCTTCCTTCTTTTTAGAACATTCTAAATTTTGATTAAAAAAACCTTGTTTCTCTTTGTATCAACCGAACCAATAAAATAACATAATAAAATTTTAGCGCGTTTTTTTTTTCCTGTTTGACACACATTAATTTGGAAAATCTTGCAAAAATGAAAAATAATTGTCGGATTTTAGTGAAACTTTTAGAAACTCTTCACAAATGATGGAACTTATTATAAATATCTTTTATTTTTATTAAAGTCATGGCAGAAATTTTTTTTTCATATGTATTACCCCCCCTCTAACTAATTGTACGAAAACTCTATAATTTCAATTTCGAGGTGGTTAGTGATTATATTAGTTAAAAGCACAATGCTTTGAGGAAACCAAATCATGTTTTTGTTTTTTTTAGTTTGACCCGCCTACCTGAAAATCGTCCCTGAAGTGTAACATACAAAACTGAATAAAACAAAAATATTATTTAATTTCAAAAGCTTTTAATAGCTTTTATTTATTTCAATGACCATGGACAATATTGTCTGGAAGCAAAAAGATATTTCGATGAAAAATGAATTTTTAAAACAATTATTTATTTCTGAAATATTTTTTTTTATTTTTATATTATGTTGTTAATTCTTCTAAAATTAGAGAAAAGTTTGTAGAACTTAACGAATGTTGTTATTAAGTAAATATATATTTACAGATTATAATTTCCAAAGCTTATTACAAACTAACGAGAGCACGTATATTAAAAAAATTAATTTGTGCCAATAATTTTTACCAATGAAATCTACGGAAGTCAGAAGTATCGTGCGTGCAATAAAAAAAAAACGTCAGCAGTGCAGCACTTGTATCTTAATTTTTTTTTATAGTATTTATAATTTCTCCAGATAGTATCAACGAACTTATGGTACAGTACTTAAAAAAAAAAAAAAAAAAAAATTGGAATAGCGAAAGTTTTTTTACTTTAATTATTACAAGGTACTACTTGAGCAGGTCCGCTTAAAAAATAATATGTCCATTCTGTCCTTCCGTATGAGAACTCGAATCTCACGTCAGCTGTCAATAATTTATAGACGTATCACTCAGTACTTGTCAATAGCTGGTGATGTTGAGATCAGCTCGCTTTTATCTTAAAGAAAACATTTTTCTACGAAGAAAGTAAATAAAAGTTTCTTTCAAAATATTTAAAATAAATTTCAAATTTTCTAAATTTCTTCGAATAAATTTTGAAATACGTATAATTAATTTTTAAACGAATTTTAAACGAAAAATTTAACTTATTTTTCAAAATTTAAAAAAAAAATGGCTTATATCGAGTTTTTTTTCGTTATTTTGTAAACAAGATTTTTAACTAAAATTTCGGACATGCTAAGAATGAGTAAAAAATTTCAAAAAATATTCAAAAAATACTTTAGTGTTTCTTCTCAATAATGAAATATACATTTAACACGAAGAAAATTTTTTTCATTAATTTTCAGGCCTTTCTTGTCATGCTATCGATTTTCATGAAGGTCCCTATCGGAATTTTAAAGAGTACAGTGGCCAAAAAATGGCGATCAAATAAAATATGAAAAGAATATGATTCCCAGAGAATCATTGTATAAAGATGCTAATGAAATCCAAAACGGAAAACTTTCAAAATGAAAGTATTAACATAATTTTCTTTTGTTTGTGATTCTGTCTTTAATTTTTAGACAAGACTGTATTTATCCCAATATTCGTTCGGAGAATGGACATCATTCTCTCTCTCTCTCTCTCTCTCTCTCTCTCTTTCTCTCTCTCTTTTTATTTTAGGATTCTGTTTCTAATTTATAGACTAGTCTGTACTGATCCCAATATTCCTTCGGACAATAGACTTAATTTTCTTTTGTTTAAGATTCTGTCTTTAATTTTTAGACAAGACTGTATTTATCCCAATATTCGTTCGGAGAATGGACATCATGCTCTCTCTCTCTTTTTATTTTAGGATTCTGTTTCTAATTTATAGACTAGTCTGTACTGATCCCAATATTCCTTCGGACAATAGACATAATTTTCTTTTGTTTAAGATTCTGTCTTTAATTTTCAGATAAGACATGGTTCCTAGAACTATTGGCATCGCTTTTTTTTTGAAAGATGCTGTCTATGATTTTGAAAAAAACAAACAAAAAAAATAAAAAAAATACACACACACAGTCTAAACAGTTTTCGCTAGAAATTAAGCGCCATTTTCTTTTCTTTAAGATACAGCATATCATTTAGATGGTTGTGCCGGTAGTATACGTGAGATCGTCTTGAAAAAAAAAACTGCAATCGTAGAGGCGAGTTCAAATTCCGGACCAGTCTGTGTGGTTTCCTTGTGCGTAAATGCCCGTGAGGAAGGCATTAACCGTTTTCTTCTCCGTCCCCCACCCAATTATTCTTTTTTTAAGTAGCAGGGTAGACTGGGCTTTGTAGCCTTGGATAGCAACCAGTCTAGGAGAAGGAAAAACTCTGTATTCCTAACTGTGGAGAAGGTATGGAGAAAACAGTTCATTAACTGTTTAAAAAAATGCATGGCAAATCACAAATAATAAATGAAGCTGTGGAGAGTCATGATCGACTATTTCCTGGAAGAACATCACATCAAAAAATAGAAGAAAACATTATAACTCACAGAAGTATATGGATGACTAAAATCCTTTTGTGTTCGTGATAATGCCCCAGATTTTAAGAATAGACACTATCATTCAAAATGGATCTTATGATTCCTAGTGTTTTAGAAACACTGACATAATTTTCATTTAAGATTCTATGGCAATAATAATAACTATAGCTTTTTCCCTATAAGGAAACATTCGGCAGGCTTTGTTATAACAGCCGATATCTGCTGGAATTTATAACAATCTATAAAAACAATTTTTTATAAAAATAGTTTTCTCAAATCGCTCTTTTCAGTTTCTGTGGGAGTTTCCTTCCTAACCTTTTGATCGAAGTAGTGTGGAATATCAACATGTTGATTATATCATTATTTTCTCTTCAAGTTGCATGTGCTATCCATTTTAGTTGTATTAAACTTACATCTGTTGTATTAATTTTAGTTGTATTAAACTTACAGCTGTTGTATTAATTTTAGTTGTATTAAACTTACAGCAACCGCCGTCTGTCGAACTCTCTGCATTAGCAGGGAGGAACCCGGACGAAGCTTTGCCGAAGTATTGTATTTTGTTGATGTTATAATGATTTACCATATATATATATATATATATATATATATATATATATATATATATATATTCCTTTTGTTCTTTTATTTTATTATCTATCTATCTATCTATCTATCTATCTATCTATATATATATATATATATATATATATATATATATATATATAATATTTATTCAAAAATTTTAACAAACATTCTATTTCAACATATCTGGTGTCTTGTGAAGTGATAGGGTTGATTGCAGAATAAAGAGTTTTAAAAAGTTCAAAAACAGCCAAAGTCTCCTCAATAGAAGAAACACACACACACACACACACACACACAGACATATATATATATATATATATATATATATTGTTTGCTTACCATTATTTGTCTTTTATTGTTAACTGGAAAATTTATCAATTCCCTTTGTTGAGCATGTTTAGCCATTTCCAATTCACTATGGCCTATTATTCTACAATTACCCGAAAGATTATCTAATCTTGACATCATCTCTCGGAGATCCATAAGAAGGTAAATAACATGACTGAATCTCCCTACAGTCAGCAAGACTAGCTCACTAAATACTACTCCATCAACTATTGATATTTTACTAAACCTACCTTAGTCTTCCATAAACCCAAATTGCGTGACAAATTAGATTGCAAATGAATACAGTACTACAAAGAAAAGAATACTGAACTGTTACGTGACATCTGTCTTTCTTTACGAGGGCAGCGAATGTTGGACGATTTCCTCAAAGATGAAGAGATGAAGAGACTCGAGGCGACAGAGATGTGGTTCTGCAGAAGAATACTAAGGATATGGACCGAGCGTGTGAGCCACAATGAGACCTTAGAGAGGTTGCAAACAAGGAAGAGGTTTATACTTAATATCAGTAAGAGGCAGCTGAAGTTTCTGGGATACATAATGAGGAAGGAGGGTCCGGAGAATCTGATACTCACAGGTCGAATAGAGGGAAAGAAAGACAAGGGAAAACAACGGGTGACATAGCTGGCGGACTTAAGCAAATGGATGGCAGAACGTGGAAGCAGATGGAAGGAACTTTTTGAGAACTGCGAGGGATAGAGGGAGGTGGAGAGCCATGATCGCCAACGTCCTGAAAGGAAATGGCACATAAAAAGACGGATCCTAAGGATATCATGTACCGAGCGTGTGAGCAATGATGAGATCTTAGAGAGGTTGCAAATAAGGAGGAGGCTTATACTTAAAATCAGGAAGAGGCAGCTGAATTTTCTGGGACACATAATGAGAAAGGAGGGCCTGGAGAATCTGATACTCACGGGTTGAATAGAGGGAAAGAGAGACAAGGGAAAACAACGCGTGACATACTAAGTGGATGACAGAGCGTGGTCTGGGGGAGGAAGCAGAGGGAAGGAACTTGTTGAGAGCTGCAAGGGATAGGAGGAGGTGGAGAGCCATGATCGCCTACGTCCTGAAAGGACATGGCACATAAAAAGAAAGAAGGTCTCCTCAACATTACCATCGGTATTATTCAATCTATTCAGACGAGTATCTTTATAGATAGTTTAGTCATCTTGACAGCATTTGTCGTAAGAATCACTGAAAATCCCTTCGAGCTATTCAGCTAGATATAGAACAGGTTAAAGCTCCACTATGTCTTCCCAGATGAGCAATGGTGAGAGGAAAATGATAATTCAGGCCTTCAGTAATGGTATCAACATTCATATTCTGGCTTCCATCTTCAAAGTCCTTTCAAGAACCATCAAGAAAATGTCGAATGACCTTAAAAAATGGAACAGTAGAGAGAAAAACTGGATCAGGAGGTCACAGCAGCAAGAGGGATCAACATTTCAGCTAAAGAGATCAATTAGAAAAAGATTCAACTCAATCTATAAGGTATTTGTCACATGAGAGAGGAGTTTCAGCTATGACAGTTCAAAGAGCAGTGAAGAAAGACTTGAAAATAAAATCGTACGTGAAACCTGTGGGGTACCTTGTTACTCCAGGACAGATAGTCTGAAGATTAGAGAGAGTGGGGAACATTTTGAATTAGTTGGAAATGATCCTGGAATAATATATATATATATATATATATATATATATATATATATATATATGAACTTTATTTCAATCCTTCATGAGCGTCTTATCCTTAGCTATGCTTAATTAATGATGAACATGTCATTTTCGTTTATGGTCGCTTACATCAGGATTCTTTTGTTAAGCATGGAGAGTCCAATAGTGTTATAAAAAACCTCGGATAATTCCAGTAAGATATCTTTAATCATTTCTAAGATACAACGGTCCAAAACTTAATCTAACAATTGGACAATTTTGTTTTTACACGATTTGGACGGTATAATATATATACACTGATTGAGTGCTTGTACAAAATTTCCTTCCATAACAAACATATCTGGCCAAGAATCTGAAATATGAAAGAGCTTTTGCTCCCATTGTCAACCTTGACAGGAGCTAGTCTTTTGTCTGTGTGTTTGTGATTGATTGATTATTTTACTGATTGCTTTTTTACGACTACGCAACCATTTTTACGTTATGTAAAGCAAAAACGATTTTAGATTGTAAGAAATTTTTGGGATATAATTATGTTTTTTTAATAAAAGTCTTAAAGTTTAACTCATAGATGGGGGAGAAGAGTTGAATTCATAACTTTCCCATGGGTATTTCAGAGTAAGTTAATGTAATAAAACCGAAGAAAATTTGAAATCGACTCTTTGATTTTTCAAACCGTTATCCATAATACCATCAGCACTTTCAAGCTTACAGAATGTGGTATTACCAACCGGTCTCCTATCTAAGTACTGACCGGTGTTCGTATGGTTGCTGAAGATAAGCTTAACTTCAGGGATGTACGTGAACCGGTGTTTCAACGTGATACGGCCGTAATCCGTGTGTGTGTGTGTGTATGTTATGTAAAACAAAAACAAAGAAAATTTCGAAACGAAATTGAACGTATTGATGGTATTTGGTATTTATCAATCCACCCACGGGGATCGAATGTGGCACAAGGCCTTTTTAATGTGGGTATCTCTGAGCCCGTAGGCCCAGCCAAAAATAAATAACCATCCAAACCCGCCGAGGCGGGCCAGTTCCGTCACCCTCCCCCAACGAAACCCTACCCTTCGGTGGAGCTGCGTCCGGGTTCCTCTCTGCAAGCAGAGAGTTCGACAGACACCCGACCCGGCAGCTCACAAAGCGCAGATACTACACTTTGATCCTAGCCACCGGGTCGAGCGGGTATTCTTTTTATAGAACGATTATGTTGTTCCTCTGACGTTCCTAACGTTTCTGTACACTTTTTTGCGTTGGCTAGTATGAAATTTTCTAAAAAAGCAAAGGTTGTTACACGAATAGCTTTCGTCGCTTGCGAGTGGACGAGACCGGCGGAGCGAGGCAGTCTCGGGCGGCAGCAGCAGCAGCGCAACGAGAGACGGCGAGCCCGGGAAAAAGGTAGCGCACCGCGGCGGGTTTGAGCAGCCGGACGGACGACTACGCTGCGCAGCACCGGTGCCGTGCGCACTGTTAACGTCCTCCCGGCGGCAGCGGCGGCGCCCGGAAAATCAGTGCTGGTGCAACGCGATCGATCAAACGCTGGTAAAGGGCGGCTGTAACTGTGACTGACTTAAGTGTTCAGTTAGCAGATGCCTCGTCATCTCGCAAGTGTCGAACAGAAAAGAGATGACGAAGCAAAGCTTAAGCTTGTTACACGGCAGATTGTAAGATGTTTTTTGATTATAACTATGATTTTCTAATAAAAGGCCTACTATTTAACTCATAGATGGGGGAGAAGAGTTGAATTGATACCTTTCCCATTGGTAGTTCCGAGTAAGTGAATGTAAAAAAAAATTGGAAATCGTCTCTCTGATTTCCAAATTTTCGAACCGTTATCCATAATACCACACCCAAGCTTACAGAACCACCCAACCGATCTCCCATCTAGATACTGACCAGTGTTCTTATGGTTAATGAAGATAAGCTTAATTTCAGTGATCTCCGTGAACCGGTGTTTCAACGTGATACGGCCGTAACCCGTGTGTGTGTTTCTCTCCTGTATAAACAAGATCCGCTTCCAAATGAGATTCAAAGAATTTCCCGTTGTTTGAACTGATGCCCGCAATGCCGACAGCCTTTTCTTGGAAGTGACCATATTAAGCAAACTCTTGGCGCGGTTCATATCACGTTACATTTTGACAATCTACCCATACAGACTCTCACCCTCGGTTTCACCAATGACATTAACACACCGGCTTATTCTAGTTCTTCAAATGTTTGAACTCTTCATGTCTTTGTTGGATATGACTCTAAGGCTGCAACGGCTTAATCAAATTTCGAATGAATATTACGTGCATTGCATTATATTAAGAGACTCCTTTGCAAGACGAACACGACAGACAGGCGGGAGACGTTGTTCTGCATCCCAGACATTCATATCAAATAAAGAACATCAGTTATTAAATGGATTACCGTGTAAACACAGAAAATAATTATACAAACGTGCAGATTTATGGTTAGAATGTTGGTCACGAAAGAAGAGGTTCCGTGGTAAGAGATGCAGGTTAATTTTTTTTAAAATTGTTATCTGCGGTTTGTTTTCAACAGCCGAAAAATTAACTGATTAATATTTACGTCGTTAGAAACAAAGAAAAGAGGACTGAACTGTGGCGTAATATCAGTCCGCTTATATGGCCGTGAATGAAGGACAATAACCTCAACGATGAAGAAGAGACTTAAGGCAAGAGAAAGGTCGTCCTACAGAAAGAAAACTGAGAATGCCATGGCCCGAACATGTGAGCAGCGACGAAATTTTAGAGAAAATAGAAACAAAAACGGCATATAGTTAACGCCAGGAAGATACAGCTGAACATAATGCGAAAAGAGGGCTTGGAAAATTTGACACTCACAGGATACTGAAGGCAAGGTGGACAGAGGAAAACTGCGCGTAACTTTTCTAACGAGCTTGTGTAAATGGTTGGCTGGAAAGGGTTTAGGAGAGATAACAAAATGACGCACATATAAAGCTATAAAGGGCAGGAAATTGTGGAGAGCCATGTTCGGCCACGTTCTGAAGGACCACGCCACAAAGAAGTAATTGTTCAGTCAATTCTTTCTATTATAAAAGAAGGTGTGTGGGTGGTGTGGTTCCGAATGAGAACTTGGAGAACCAAGTTTCAATTACAGTCGGGTTCATTACTTACGCAAATAATATCCATGAGAAACGCAGGGGTCCATCTTCTGTTTCCCAACTATAGGATTAATTATAGGATTTGTATGCCAAAAAGTTATTGTTATTTTTAGTAATTGTCAATGTGATATTCTTATCCTTTACATAACGTACAAAAGATTGATAAGCCTTAAAAACAAACTAAAAAATACTTAAAATCAATAAAAGCGAGCTTAAGTCTATCTTCACCCCAAGCAAGGCAATGATGCATCTGAGACGCAAGATATGAGGAACTGGAAACCTAACCCTAAACAGGGAACAAGGCTACTCCTGTTCAAAATAACGGGGAGGGGTGTGAAACGGACAATAGGCGAACCTATTTTAGTTCTATAAAGAAAAAAATAGTAAATAATATTCCAGTATTTAGGCGGAGACGTTAGAAGAATAAAGTTGAAGTAGATTTTACAATGAACTGAAAAGCCAATCCTAAACCGAGAACAAGGCTATATATATATATATATATATATATATATATATATATATATATATATATATATATATATTTAGTGTGTTTATACACATTTTATATATATATATATATATATATATATATATATATATATATATGTTTTTTAGGCAGCATTTTTTCCTTCATACACATTTCATTAAATAATATAGACAAGTGTTGTCTATTCATTTTATGTAAATTATTTTCATAACGTCTGATAAGCTTAATAACATTATCATTAAACGAAGAAAGAAAATCACAATATTGATACATATTTTTTTAAAATCTAATCTAAGCTTTCGGCTTACATAAGCCATTATCAAAGATGACAATTACTGTACAATATATTAAGGAATACACGGACAAATCAGTGATGATAGTCTGTTTCTGTTTACATGGATGATTTCCAAGCAACGATAAACACGTGCATATAAGACGCTGGAAGGGAAAATCGCACCGCAGCTCATGACGTCACACATAACAACGTGAGAGTGAATTCAAGAAGTATTAAGTATGGGAAGCCGTTGGTATAAACCAATGACTTCTGTTACCAGTTATAGACATTTAAGGATATTTGTGGAGATTCCATAGTTTATTTTGTTTAGGTGAGGTTTCAACTGTTTTATGTATATAGCTTCAAAATTTTTTAGTTTTTGTCTATTGTTTTCATGTCGAAGTATAATTGTGTTTTCCACAAGTATTTTACGGAATTGTGTGTGCTGGCAGGCATGTTGTTTTAAATGCCTAAAAATTCCAATGCAGTGTCAAGCGTCGTGAAAGCGAGTTTGTGGTGTGACCAACATAAATATTATTTAATTCGTTGGAGATACAATCTTCAAAGGGCGCTTGAATTTGTAAACTATGTTGGTTTCTTTGCATATATATATATATATATATATATATATATATATATATATATATATATATATATATATATATATCGGTTTAGTGAGTGCGTGCCTGAGTGGTCACAAAGATATCTTCCATAAAAACCAGATTCGAATCTCTCTATAAGCGATACGTCAAGGATGATAATATGTCCTAGTCTAGAAGATCCCAGTTTATGTCATCCGCTGGTCGAAATCGAGTAGAAGAGACTAGCAGGAAAACACAAGTCATCGTAACGGAGCTTTTTAGTGAATACTGGATTCGTTTATCCACTGATCGCGTCCATTTATAAGTTCACTGTCAAAAACCTTAAAGTCCACTCAACATCTGATGCAATCACGGATGACGCAATATATTTCAAGGTCAAAAAAAATCATCATGCTCCCCGAAAATAGATTCATATTACTGCACACCACTTCAAATGACCTAATATGAGAATAAAATAAAAATCGATTACACCTTGTTACTCCAGTGGGACTAAAACTGACCGTAAGGTTAAAGAAAAGAAACTAAAACGTTTGTTTCAATTAATTTGCGTAAGGGTGTAGAAGAGAACCGTGTGTAACGTCGGCATTGATCTTAAGGAGCAGCGATCTTCAAGGACCTACACGATTTGGTACTGAGATAATGAATTTGGTTTTTCTTTTCCTTCTTTTAACTTTTTATCACAACTTCTTGGCTCGAATAACTTCGTTTTTTTAACGCAAGTTGCATGGGTAATGAATACAGAAAGAATTTTAAAGCAAACGTGAACGCCTTTAAATATTGCATAAACTCGTCTCAGAGATTCAAATAAATGAAAAAGAAAAACACTTAAATAATTGTATAATTTTGAATTCGATTACAACTGCCATCTTTAAATTGCTTCATCGACGTACGTCTGATTATATCGATTTTAATAGATCAGGTTTGTTATATTGATCTAAATGGTTTGTATCGATTTTGATGGATCACATCTCTTTATATCGATCTTAATAAATCAAGTGTGTTTCGCCCATATACTAGTCTACATCTGCTAATATCAATACATCAAGTATATTTATTTGACTTTTAATAAGCTATATCCTTGGATCTGGCCTTGGAGCCACGGATAAAAGCATGGAATTCTAATCGAAGAACCGGGTTCAAATTCCATTTAGGTTCATTACATTCACTTGGGAAAGGTATGAATCTACCTTTTCTCCCCTTAGCTATGGGTTAATTAATAACACTTGTTTCACTAAATCATTATTATCTCCACCCCCACAAAACAATTCTTGCAATCTAAAAAATATTGTTCTTGCTTCAAATAACCTGGAAATGTTTAAGCCGTGAAAAACGAATCAGTCAGCATTATATCCATATTAGCAGATGAGTGTTATGACATTGGCGCCCCAATCTCCTGACCTCAACCCCATAGAAAACTTATGGAGCATGTTGCTCAACTGCTTTCTCGAGAGTCTGTACTTTATAATGCTCCAAAAGTTTTCTATGGGGTTGAGGTCAGGAGATTAAGGCCATGTCATAACACTCACCTGCTTCTCATCAAAGTATTCCTTCACCAATTTTCATCTGTGACAGGGAGCATTATCCTGCATAAAAATGAGCTTGGTGGGGTCGATCAGCAGAAGGGAGCAGACAAGACTGTAAAATTCTCTTGTACTGCTCGCTCCTGAGGGGCTTTTCAATAGGTTTTAAGAAACCAGTTCCATGAAAAGAAAAGCATCCCTAGAACATTATACTGAACGGATGCTTGACAGTACTTACTGCTAAATTCAAAGAGCTTTCAAAGCTTCTTCTTCGGATTTTAGATCGCTTATCCTTTGAATTTAGCTCAACTTTCGTTTCATCGGAGAAGAGAACATTTAGTAAAAAAAAAAAAAAAAAAAAATGCAGGTGAGTAATTTTTATCGAACAGCACTGTATATATAATATAATACCACTAGGACGCAGGGGTTTTGAGGGTGTGAAAGAGTGTTTTATTCCGTATAGTTCTTAGTATGCCGTACAGATTGGATTGGTTGATTGATTTTGTTTAACGGCATATAGACACCTCTATGGGTTATTTAAGGCCGGAATTTAAAT